TTGTTTAACGCCGCATGCAGCAATATTCCAGCTATATGACGTCGGTCTGAAAATGATCGAGTCTGGGCCAGAGAAACCAGTCATCAACAGCCTGAGCATAGATCTACGCAATTGGGATACGATAGCATGTGTCAACCAAGTCAGAGAGAGTATGACCACCGATCCCGTTAGTTGTCTCTTACAAGGGTGAGTTGCTGAATACCAATTCTAACCTGGATCTTCACGGGTCTGGCAACTATTCTGTATTTAGATCACTATGAGGTTCTTTGTGTTAGCGACATTAGAATATTGTATATTGACTCTGTTGCGTTGCTCTTTAAGCGTGAAAGATTCCATTTCACTGAGAATCTAAAAGGTAAAGTTGGTTCTTGATGATACATAATTGACTTACCTTCATGAAAAATGACTGAACGTTTAAACGATATAATAACCCCCCAATATGTGTTAGGCCTGAAAAAAATAACATGTAGAAATATTATGACTTCCTGTATTTGTTTGTATACCCTATCCAGTTTAACCCTAGAAATTTACCGATGCATTTTTATTTTACCCATTGCTTACATAAGGACAAAAAGAAATAAAATCGACAAGTGAGTACTGGAATTCAATTGCTCCTCTCAAAAACATGTCTTGTGCTGTTATTGATTAAAGCTATCTATAAGCGCTTGAAGGATGTTTTAAATGTAATTGGTTCCAATGAATACCTGTCTGATAGACATGTTATATGTGTGTAGTGATTCGTGACGTTAAACTGATAATGTAGAAATAGCTTATTAATGACGCTTTTATGTAAAATTGGTAGCTAGTAAATGCAACACTGACTTGTCGATCGCACAACATTGTATTGATGAAGTTCTTAATTAAACAAGGAACATGGGTAAAAGTACAGGCCTCTTTCATGAGGCCGGAGTTCTGTGATGTTTGATATGTAGTCACGAGCAACAATCAAACAAAACCCACCTTTTTGATATGATAAGTACGAAAACACTTCATATTGTTGCATATCCTTGAAAACTAAATGGTAACTGTAACATATTGTACTCTGATTAAAACAAAAACAAAACTGAAATTTGAAAGTTACTTGCAATCTGAGAGGAATACAGAAATAACGTGAATATCAACAAGGCCGGAAAGTATGGTAAAATGACTACGACATCAACCGACTGTCACACAGTTCTTGAATAGTGATTGTTCTATGAATGATTCTATGAACAACCACTGGCGACCACATCAAAGCGAAACCCCGCGCACGGGTAACATCTCCCAATCTCCTCATGCTGGCAATCAAGCGTCAAATGATCAGCTTTGGACTCCTGCCATTCCTCATGGAGTGCCTGCAGTACCTTCAGATTTTGATCCGGAATATCTCTAGCTCAGTCTAACCCGGCTGCCAAGACTGTGCAAAGATGAAAGATAGGGTTCAATGGATCATCTCCTGGTGATATGGACCCGTGAAGATCCGGGGTATATAAGTTCTTCAGCAACCCATGCTTACCACAAAAGGTGACTATGCTTGTCGTAAGAGGCGACTAACGGGATCGGATGGTCAGGCTCGCTGACTTGATTGACACATGTCATCGGGTCCCAATTGCGCAGATCGATGTTCCTGCTGTTGATCACTGGATTGTCTGGTCCACACTCGATTATTTACAGACCGCCGGCATATAGCTGGAATATTGCTGAGTGCGGCGTAAAAACTAAACTCACTCACTCACTCACTCCTGGTGATATGCCTCGTTACGATGTATCCACACGCGACAGTGACTGTCCGTTGATTTAGCTCTGACCAAACCACTTAGGTTGGTCTGTTTTATGTTTTTATAAAGTTTGTTAAATTTCAGGGCATTCAAATTATGCCGTGTTCCAAATATATGTATAATTCAGACTTATGTAATATCATTGCCTCGTGGATACTGAAATCCTCGCTATAATAAACGTTTCGATTTAATTAAAAACAACTGGAACATGAGGGAAACTTCCATCTGTAATAGAACCTAGGGTCTTTGTGTTATTCCCCACGATAACGACTTCATTTGCGCAGTAATCCAATCAAACAAACATTTTACAGTACCTGCAGAGTACAAACAAAATATAGAACCATTAGATATATTCTCTAATTAGGAAATCATGTTAACACAAAGAGACACCCCAAAGTATATAAAATTGCATCTTGAAATCCGTGACGTATAAATTATTTTTTTGAAAGGTTAAAAGGTGTACCAAAGACCTTCCTAGAGAAATAAAACACAACCGGCCACCAAATTCTGACCAGTCGCCCATCAAGGAATGTTCTGAAGAAAACTGAACCCTGAACTAAAAGGATATACCAATGGAACTGTGTATGAGAACCATTACTCATTCTCCATGAATGCGGAAACCATTCTGCACACTCAGATCATCACTGTAATGAAGTCTTGTGCGAGTGGTGCTTGTGTTATGTAACTTGCCAAGGCTACTGGTTGTCATTGTTGCAAAAAGGCAGCTCTAAGGTCGACATCACATTGCGCTGTAACTTTATCGCTGTTGTCAAAGACTGAATCTTTAACAATGCTCTTTTTGTACTGGGCCTTTGGCAAGTTGTTCAGTCCATGCCATTCACCGAACATCACTTAATGTTGACAAGCCTTTGCTGACATAGCCCACTACACCCAGGAAACGCAGAACAGGTCTTGTGTTTAAGGCCATTAGGTGTCAACATGTGACCTATGTATCAAACTTCTGGTAGCTGAAGTTTCATATTGTCCTTGGCCTAGATTTTCGAAACTCTCTTAGCGCTAAGATAGTCGTAAGTGCCATACATTAACATTAACTTACAACTATCTTAGCGCTAAGAGAGCTTCGAAAATCTAGGCCCTGGTTGATTATCAGATTTTTCTCTCAACATATCTTAGATTTCCATGACGTATGGATCAATTTCACCATTTTCACACACTAGAATGCAATCCGCCACTCTTCGGACGCCTTTCAGGACATCAATAAATTTGGTCGTGGAGCATTTGAGAAATCCCTCAGGGGCAGAAGTAATCCTAAATGGCTTTCTCAGCCAACGGAATCGCCAGAAAATAGTAGTGAAAGTACAGAACAGAGAGCTCTCATCACCAACCTCAACATGCTCAATGACATTCTAAGCGTTTTTGGGAAGACCTGTATCCAGCAACATATCCCCAACTGTTTAAAGTGGATAGTGATTCCTCTTAATGGCCACATGTATATTTCTCGGATCAAAGCAGATTTGTAAGTTACTGGGCTAGAATTAGGTTACAAGCTGCTTGTCATGGGGATGTGGTCCTAAGATAAAGTGGTTATGAAACAAGAATAGAGTAATACCAGAAAACGTGGTAAAAGTTCATAGTTTTAATATTAGCTGCTAAATATAAATAAAGACATGCGATCTAATGTATATAGGCCTCAGTTAATATTGACAAAGACTTGCTGATTAACAGAAAATGAGCAATATACAACTTGATTAGATAAACAACGTAACACCACTATTGCCTTTCTCTGACAAAACAATCGACAAGAATAATACCAGAAGTAAGTCAGTGCAAGATCAAAATCGTCCCCATAAATACTTCCTAACGTTTCCACCTGCCCATCCAGCAACGGTTCCACCAGGAGCTGTCCAGCAATACCTCTCAATGGTTACGCTTGAAAGTAACAAGGTTCTTATGTTCGGGTACGCTGTGTTAACGAGCAGGATCTCAATAGCGTTTACTAAAATATGGACAACGCAAGTAGCAAACTAACTACTAACCCACAAGGGCAGTTGTAGGTACCACAATAGAGAGCTAAACACAAGCTAAACAAAGATAATATATGATAACAAGCAGATACGTACAATATGTAAGGTGGAGAAAATGACATGAATCTACGATAAATATCTTCATGGTACTTGATAATCCCGCTTCTACATGGACATAAAAGTTACTGAAACATCAACAATACATGAATAGGCTTGCTTGCCGAGATTACACTATATTAAGTCAATACATGATGAAATTATGTGAATAAAATGTTCGCTAATAAATTTATGGAAAACAAATTCTCCAATGAACTTCTAATGCGTATCACGATGCCAGTCTGTGCCGAAGAGGACCTAGCTGTACCGAAGAGGACCGAGCTGCTCCGAGCGCTACGGTCATTGTATTGTGAAGAGCCTTGTAACCCAGTGACACAATCACATTTCCCCTATCACTTTCAATTGTGTGAACATACATCTTGGATATTTGGGGTTTATACACAGAGTGAACACTATCTTTTTGCTACTCTATGCGACGTGTAACAGTTTTGATGACATAGAATTCTTCTTCATGTCCAGAAAAGTCACACTCACAGGGTTTACCTCATCGTCACAAACTTAGTAGTAGACTGGAGTACTCTATCTCTTTGTGAAGTGATTAGCATTCCTGCATTTGCCACATTACTTGCAATATACCCGTGAAGGTCCGGGTTAGAATATTGATCTTCAGTAACCCATGCTTGTCGTAAGAGGCGACTAACGGGATAGGGTGGTCAGACTCGCTGACTTGGTCGACACATGTCATCGGTTCCCAATTGCGCAGATCGATGCTCCTGCTGTTGATCACTGGAATGTCTGGTCCAGACTCGATTATTTACAGACCGCCGCCATATAGCTGGAATATTGCTGAATGCGGCGTCAAACTAGACTCACTCACTCACTCACTACTTGCAGTATACCGGCATTTTTATCGCCTTATCCCAAACTTGTAATTTATCTAGTTTTCGTAATATTTCGTTATAATGTAATTCCTTCATCACAACGTGTTAGCTGAAGAACAGTGTGAACACCGGTAGTGTGGACACCCATGAACTTAGGCATGAAGACCTGGGTTAGTATTGCCTTCAGCAACCCATGCTTGTCCAAAGAGGCGACTAACATGATCGGGTGGTCAGGGTAACGGATTTGATTCATCCATCTTCATACCACAAATGCGTAGATCGATGCTCACATTATCAACACTGGGTTGTCTGGTCCAGACTAGATTATTTACACACAGGTGACCACCGTCATATAGATGGAACATTGATGAGTGGTAAACAATAACCAAACATGTACTGTGCAATTTGAAGATCCAAGTTTTTCAGCTGCTCTTTGAAGAATTCTGTACACTTGTTCCATGTTCGCGACAAATTTGGACCATTCCGTGTTGGTACTCAGGCCATGTTGGTTGTTTGGGGAAAATTCGTGTCATATTTGGCACAACTGGTACGTCTTCGCCGCCACCTTATTTAATGCAGCTTATTTTATTTGTAGTTATTGTAATTTGCAAGATAGTGGGAGAAGTAAACATGACACTAACACTACCACTGAATTGTGACGGCTTATCAATACCATGCTTACACATTGTAAAATATGGTAAATTGTTACAGCACGTTCTTTGAGAAAGTTCCAGGGTCTGGCAGGTTCTACCTTTGAAAATCTAGGGACCGTTTAGAATATGTAATACATACATGACATCACATATGATGTGTGTACAGCATAGGTATTGTAACAGCAGTTGACAAAGATAATCTTAATTTTGATTCTTCCTCGAATAGAAGACCAGGACATGTGTATCAGTCTGAAGGACCAGTGTTGACTACGAGAGCTTCTTTCACATGTTTCTCTCCGTCCATGTTTCCCAAGTGTTGTCAGGTTGGATATCAACGGATCGTGATCGTTCAAAGTATAACTGACAGGTGTTGGTCGTGTTCTGGTAGCTGACTGACCTACAGCTGATCCTGCCTTGGCAACTTTTGATGCAGTTTACCATAGAGGAGGCCGTCACTGAAGACAACGTTTGGCGTGTACTCCAACCATAAGGCACCACCCGCTCAAAGTAATTCCCGGCGTTGCCATCTAAACAAAGCACACTAAGGTCAAAAATATGTTCTCATTTAGGGTCCCGATCCACAAAGCGATCGTAACGTTACGACCTACCGTAACTCTATACTACATCATTGGCTTACGAGTGTTTGAGTGAGTGAGTGTGGTCTAACGCCGCTTTTAGCAATATCCCAGCAATATAACAGCGGGGGGACACCAGAAATGGGCTTCACATTGTGACCATGTGGGGAATCAAACCCGGGTCTTCGGCGTACCAAGCGAACGCTTTAACCACTAGGCTAAACACCCCCACCCCTTCCCCACACCCCCAGCCCCCACCCCCATTGGCTTGCGAATGATGTAATGCTACGAAAGCTTTGTGGATAGGGTACCAGGATGTTAAATACCAGTTTTCGGGTGTAATTTGCAACATTAGTTTGAAGGTTTACAATTGCTGGATTGTCAACTCTGCTTTCTGCAATTTTTGAAAACCAAAGTATCTCCGACTTTGCTATTTACAGTATTGTAATAGGCTTTGTTCATATAATATGGTTTGATTGATTTCAGAAAGATAAACAGTTCTGAATAGAACCCGGTGTTGACTAGGGCATAAGTCGCCAAATGTTTACGTAATATGATGACTTTGAATCAAACCCTTCGAGAAATTAACACATTTCAAAATATATTTTTACCTCAAGGTAATTCTACACAACTCTTGCCTCTGGACACACTGTTGTGCTTTTTCTACTTACCAAATTCCCAGTCAAATACGTCATTATAAGAGGATCCAACTCCCAAATACTGGACATCAAAATCTCTTTCCTCTTCGGTAGACATGAAGGTGTGTTCTCCAACATAAGCCCCGTGTCCCACGCTAAGCAACCTGCCAGTCCAGTTGACCCACATTGACCTCATCTCGTTACAATTCAAGACGGAGGTGACCCATTCTGATTCTAGAGTTGTACAGCCACTGCAAGGAAGCATTGAACATTTCCGATTTGCCCAACCACCGAGCAAAATATCTGCATTCTTGGCAGGGGCAAAGTTAGGACCTTCAAAGAGATTTATCCTACCGTCAGTGCACCCTTTGACACGGAAGAGAATCGACGAGATATTCTTGACGTCAACGCCGTAGTCGTGAGCGTTATACACTGTGCGGTTTCCGGTTGTAATGATGTTGATGTTGGTTGAGGAACCACAGACTAGTAAGAAGAAACCTGTAAAAGAGATTTAAGTACCACCATGTACCACATGACGATTGATATGTTAAGCATCGCACAACCAACGAAATAAAATAATCACCAAAGCCTTAAGCGCAACTCTCAGTGTGCGAGGGCTGATAAGCCGTCCATTCACCCATCCATCCATCCATCTAGGGTTGTCACTCCACAGGTTATATTGTGACTATGTCGTGTTAACATATATACACACCAATATGTATTTAGGGGTGAGGATCCTCCATTGTATATCCCTTTTGATGCTGTGGGATAAATCGCAAGGGATACACAGTTCAAATCACTATCTTCGATGGGTCATTTTTAAATGACATCATCCATTTCATTATGTATTTTGGAAGTAGTCTTGCATTATAAATTTTGTACTGTACTGTGCTGTGTGTGATAAATGAATATTTAAAATTGTTAGAATAAATTTGACAACTGAGCTTGTTACTGACTTTACTCTCGAATGGGCTAAGGTGGTGTGAACTTGTGTTGGGAATTGGTTAAAATATCATAATTGATGATTGGTTCATTACTACGGATCAATCATCGAAAATAATATGCTAATGCACATTAAAATAAGGGAAAAAATGTAGTTCTTCTGGGGTTTTTGGGGCAAAATTTCACATTTTTAAAGGATGACTAGTATGTTAGGAACATAAATTTCTTGGAATCACTAAGATAAATTCAATCATGACTTGAAACGAGCTTGTAGTGCTTACGAAATGTAACAGACAAAACCTACCATGTGAAAAATATTGTTAATGAAAACAAGTGTTCCAGAATTGTTTGTGTTCGATTATGAGAAATTATGATCGATTGCTTGGTCGTTTAGTCACTACGACCAATCTTCGATTATTTCAATTAATCGGACCACCACTAGTGTGAACCATTGTCCCCGGAAACGTTACTGAAATACATCAGAAATAGATGACAAACTAATACTTGTATTCTTATTGCATATGATACTTTTACAGTTACGAATGCTACACTCACCCATTGGCATTTTCAAGAGGAGCAATTCTATTTTGAAACTGAAATGAAGAATCTGCCACTGAATGTTTTTTTTATATCATCAGCAAACACTAAGACGTAAGTCTCTTGATGGTCATTGGAAACAAACACTCCTACCTTCATAGACAATTGATCAACCTATGTAAATTGTAAACTCAGATCCTGAATAAACGCCTTCCAAACACGGCGACAGCAGTTAAATAACTCTTTGAATCTGTCAGTAAATATTCATCCGCATGATCCATAACTGGTTTAAACAATTGCAAATAAGTGGTTTATATGCATTACTGTTAGTTCACAGTAGGCCAGGACCAGTGATGATGTCATCGTATCACAATTGCTCAGAATGATGCTCATGCTGTTGATCACTGGATCGTCTGGTCCAGACTCGTTTATTTACAGACCGCCGCCATATAGCTGTAATATTGCCGAGTGTGGCGTAAAACTAAACTCAATCAATCACAGTATACCAGATCAATGAGGTTTCAACCGTAAATTAAAAACATGTGATCCACCATAATCCCTGTTAAAAATGCCCATTTATTCCAAAATTCTCTAACAAATTCATCCATACATGCCCGTGGTACTGTCTTGATGAATAGAAATCAATACACTTGAAAATGGTTGGATTTGGCCTGGAACCCGCAACGAAAAGAATATTCAAAGGAAATAGAGCTATTGAACCGTACATAAAATCTACATTATATCATGGCTGTTTTGAGTTTTCCATGTGTTTCCAGAAGAAAACAGGAAGCGTTGTTCCACTCACTGCTTCCTATGGGAGGCACCCATTTCATGCAGAGAGAGAGGCTAACAACTATTATATTTTGGATTAAGCTGTCTTTGCACCAGGATAGTAGAAATTCAAGTCATTTGGGGGTTGATTCCTGTTCAGGAACTTACAAAGGCCAAAGAGTTTCAACAACAGGGTGTATCTCACAAATCAAAGATTGTCTGGGAACAGTGAGAGCATTCTCCCCAAGGTTCAACCACTGGTATAGGGCTACATGTGTAGGGGGCTCGTTCGATGCGCTGGACTCCAGTGAACCTTAAAAGTACTAAAAAGTCTGAAAAATGAATCCGCACCCGTTATGAATAATCTATAGATAGTGAGGTTTAAAAGGGGGAAAAACACTTCTGTCAGCATAAAGAATTGATTCCTATGATGATCTGATTTTGACCCCAAAAAACATCACATTATCCTTGCTGGTGTTGCAATATATGATGAATTTGAGACTTCGACTATCAATGAGGCATCGATGAGATTACATTGAGGGAACGTCAAAGAAGAATTCTGTTTTGGGGTAGTGTCAAAATGCATTTGACACTGAACCTTTTCTAGCTAGCCAAGAAATTGAACACAAATTGCGCTTTGGCGCCATAGATTCCAGCCCCCGTGCAAAGAACCCCACAAAGGGAGCAGTGCCGTCAAAGAGAGACACTAAGCAACCCCGAATCGACAAAAACTTAAAACGAGAGTATGTATGCAGAGTGTCTATTCAATTCTTGAAGTGAAGAAAGACAAAACGTGATTTCAATGTAAAAAAAGACTTGACCTGTAGACTTTGAAAGAACATGATCTGAACTTCAATGATATTTATTGCCGAGTTTCGAAAGCAGAACGTGACAGAATGCCGCGGTTACTCTGTTTCTCACTTCTTTGCAGTACTATATCCAAACAAATGGTATTCCATTAACGTCTTCACAGAGCATCGTTACAAAGGCCTAAGTAGGCTGCTACATGCCGAAATAAAGTCACTGGTTAGAAACAAGGCAGGAAGCACAAAGCGACAGGTCAAAGTGATACCAGAGGAGCAAGAGGATATTTTGAGGGCGAAATCTCTTTTAGGAGCCGATTCTCCGCAACAGATCAGTGACACCCTGATCTATTTTATTGGCCTGAATTTGGCTCTCAGGGCAGGAGACGGGCATAGAATTTTTCGGGTCGGCGAAACATCGCAACTTAGGTTATGCCAAACGTGAATGAAGAGGAAGGCATGTCCAAGGGAGGGTTGGTCTTAAACACAGGAAGTTCGCCCGTAAACCTGTGAAGGTGTTTCAGACCAACGAGCAGTCAGAGAGATGCTTGGTTTGTGCACACAACAGGTACATGAATCTAAAGTAAGATATTGATAGTCTGCCACTTTCAATAAAATTCAACAATTTTTTACTCATTTGAAGTTAATTTGCAATAGACATGGATAATTGATATTGAACGTTGATTATAAATATAAAGATTTTCTGAAGTACTGAATTCGATCTATACATGCAGCTTTCATATTTACTCTGTCTTATGTCAGTCGGAATCTGTTTTGACCTTGGCGTCTACCATTTATCACTGTGATTGGGCCATACTTTGACATTTTTAAAATGTTGCATTTGACTTTGGTTGTGAAGAGACAATTTTGTAATGCACATACCGTATTAAAGAACTAGCAAAAGCACACGGAAAAAAACCTTCCCATTACAAATAACAGTGCATTGTGCAATGTTTTCTCAAGTCTTAAGACAACGGTTCAAGCGTTAAAACGAATACTATATAGTTTAGCATACAATTTGTCTACATTTTCAGGTCCTGTAGGCTTTTTACCTTCGACCACTTCGGTACACTACAACAGATGTCTGGTGTGCTCACGCGCAGTTTGGCGAGCATACTCTTACCAAAACCATCGCTGTCTTTGCAAGGCTGCAGGCTTCAGTGGTTTCTATGCCAACGTTAATCATGCCCTGCTATTCGACTTTACGAAGCCGGATGAACAGTTGATCGCGAATGACACAGATCACCACATGTTCATTGGTAAAGGGTACGTTTTGTAACGCAATGGCAGCTAAGAGGATTGTTGAGCCAAACATATATATACACTTTATATATGGTTTATTACCTTTAATAGTACATGAAAAGAATTAACTTAAGGGTGTATTGCTTACTGTATTTCCTAAAGATGAAAGGTAAATGAAATGTTTTTGAAATATATACAGAGAACCTCTGATCAAATGACGGCTAAAGTAGACAGTATCGCTGGAAGGTGGCACACAATTAATACAAAATATACGTCAGGCACTACAGGTACTTTGACCGAGACTTCGAAGTCAGAAGACCTAAAAAAAATACGTGTATGGAATAAAAGTGGTTCTTCAAGATGGCACCTGTCTGTTTCTGTGAACTTGTGAATGAGCAACTCGCAGTACAAGTGAATACATGAATCTGCCAGGTGATAGTTTTGTTTGTTATTTTCTATAATTGGTATTTCAAAAGCCGAATTTGATGATACTGTTGAAGGTGATGATATTTTCATCAGTGAATATTTTTGTTTTGATAGTGGATATTACAGTCTTAACTTCGTATTGTGTCGTTATTTTGCGAATTTCTTTCATCAGTTTTAGTCAATATTCATGCTATATGGCGGCAGTCTGTATATAATCGAGTCTGGATCAGACAATCCGGTGATCAACAGCATGATCATCATTCTACGTAACTGGGATATGATGACATGTATCAACCAAGTCAGTGAACCTGACCACCCGATCCCGTTAGTCGACAAGCATGGGTTGCTGAAGATCAGTTCTAATCCGGATCTTCACGGGTCGATCAGGTTTAGAGCATGGCTTGATATTAATACTCTAATACCCTTTGGTTATAGTCAAATTGTCTATGTACCTTCGACGTATAATAATTTATATATTGGAATGAAATCAATTACGGCTACAATATCCCTATTGAAGTGAAATGTAAAATCAGTATTTAGGGTAGTAGTATAGGGAATGGGGGTTCTGTGACAGGCCGATTAAGAGCGTCATTATATATCTATTCCGCTTCCAGCCCCCAGTATGAATTAACGATTTCGAGCAGAGACACCATTCGATGCACATCCCAGACCCCTATAGGAGCCTTAACATCTGTAGGGTACCATGAGTTTCGGCAACCCCAGGCGGGAACGAGGACTGCAATACGTCCCCAAGCCGCAGACGGTGCCGGATGCTAA